TGTCCAGACCAACAGGTCCACCCGTGTCCAGACCAACAGGTCCACCCGTGTCCAGGATGGGGGACCAGCAGGGGGCTCTAGAGCCCACTGATGGGTGATCTGCTAAAGGGCAGCGGGGCTTCCAGCTGTGGCGCCTGAAGGCAAACAATGACCCATCGTAGCTTCCGTCCAGCCTCCATTAAACCTCCACCAGCCGGACCTCCTGCTGCCCCTGAATCCGCCTAACAGGAGCTGCTATCAGGCAGCTAAGGTCCACTTTAGGTCGAGGCTCAGCGAATGGAGCAGGCCTCACTGGAGCCCAGCCCTGCTGAACCTAAAGCTAACTCAGCTAGCAGGCTAGCAGCTGTTAGCTAACATCAGACCAACGGAACCAGAACCGAATCAGAACCACGATCACACCGAACAGGAACTCTGCCGAACCGGCCCGGTTCTTTACCTGCTGCTGGGAGACAACCAGGCTCATGGCTGATCGGAGGATCCTCAGGAACCAGAACCAGCAGAGACCCGCTCAGCCGAACCCGCCCAGCCGAACCCGCCCAGCCGAACCCGCGCTGGAAGCACCGATCCTGCGACACCGAGAGGAGAAGTTCGTCGGTGTTTGTTCCACATTCAGCTCCTCTTCCTCCCGCTCCGCGCGCTCCGCTCACTTTGAGCTTTGGCGCGCGCTGACAGCTGCTGCTCCGCTTTAATCAGAGAGCTGTCAATCACCCGAACGTCCTCTCTTATTGGTCAGATTTAGACTCCTCTACCCGCCTCCTGTGACGTCATACGTTACAGCAGCGCGAAAGAAAGAAAGAAGAAAGAAAAGTAAATTAAAGATAATCACTGCTTTGTTTTTCCCACATTGAGCAGATTCGGAAGCACAATATTTTTAATAACTTTTATTTATCTTTATTTTATGTGACCTTTAATGTTATAAACATCGGTTCTTTGATGTTTCAGTCTGCAGAGCTACTAAGAACGGAAAGGATGCAGCTCAGAAAATAAAACTTTATCTACTTCATTAAAAAACATCAAATAAGACAGAACTTTTTAGTATATTTTACATTTTTACATAAGCAATGTAGGGAGATTTGCAACATATTTGGCTCTGTAACTCAGACATGATTTGGATTATTTATTTACATAAAATTAACACACATTTATGGGTTAATAGTCGAAACCATTTAAAGTTAACCAAAGAGAAATAATTTTTCACTATTTGCATCTAAATCCTAGGAGACGTTTGCAACTGGCCCTAAAGTAGCAACATGTTACAAACAATATATTAAACTTTAATTAAATGACAAGTTGTTTTATCCATCCGTCTTCTTCTGCTTGTCAGGATGAGCTGGTTTGTATCTCCAGCAGGAATGGAGGACAGGCGGGGTCCACCCTGGCAGAGACACCAACCCTAAGGGCAAGTTAGAGACGCCATTTTACCTCACAGTCATGTTTCTGGACTGAGGGAGGAAGCTGGAGTACCCAGAGAGAACCCACACATGATCAGGGAGAACATGCTAACTCCATGCAAAGAGACCTGATGCTGGGAATCAAACCCAAGACCTTCCAGGGATTGAAGGGAAGTTATTCACCAAACAGGTTGCATTTTGTCTGACAGGAACATTTTCAGTTTCTTGATGAAACCCTACAAAAAAAAAAAGGGAAAATGTTTTATGTTAAAGTGAGCCCGAATAATCTAGAACATGGGTAACCAATTAAAGATTGACTCACGGCCATCTTGGATTTAGTCTCCAGGACGAAAACTATTAGTTTGAGTCTAATTTTAGTCATTAAGTCTCCAAATAAAGAAAATCATCAACCAGTAAAGGTCTGGAGACTTTTTTATTTACACGCTGTTACTTTAAACAGAATTTAACACTGAAATAAAAAGCAGCTTTTTATGCATCCATGATATGGATTGAACATTTTTCTATTTTAAAATCTAAAGTGTTTTTTTAAGTAGAGAACATCAATCGTTCAGTTTGGTTTATAGATCATTTCCTGATTCCCATATTTTCTCAAACCCCTGAACTGATGGTTTGTTATTTTCTTTCTTTTTTCTGTCTTAATGTTGGCAGTGGGCTTTAGGCTGCCCTGCAAGGCTTTAAACCTGGGTTTAACCAGAGACTAAGCCATTCTCAAGCACATATCAAGGAGCTCATTTTGAGCCTGGATCCAGATTTATTGTTGATTCTGTTCATGGTGGAGAATTTTACCGCTTTACCGTATTAACAGGAGAGGAGGAGCAAGTGAAGTTAGACATCAGACAACATGCGGTAATTTATAAATGTTTTAAATCAGGTTGGGTCTGGATTAGCCAGCAGGTGGGTCTGGATCCGGACTACGGTCCGCTAATCCATGACCTCTGGTCTAGAGGATATAATACAGTCTATAAACATTTGATCTGAAACCAAAGTCCAGAATCAGCCCAGCTGAGAACCAAACTGAGGACCCAGTATTTAACCAGACCCAATCAGAAGCGTTTAAAGAATCAACAATAAATTGACCAGGAACCCGATCAGCAGTGGGAACAGGAAAGATCAGGTTAGGGACTTGGGCAGATCTCAGTGTTAAATGAGCAAACAGAACTAAAGCCATCTACCTTCTCAGAACGACGAGGCTGAACTGGGTTCAGTGGTGACGTTGCTGGTGGCTTGTACTGCTTTGAGGGAGAGCATGCTGCTCACAGGAACAGAGTAACGACCAGGGACTCGGGGGCTGACTCTACGTCTTGGGAAAACAGCAGGTTAGAATCAGGCTAATGTATCCAAGGGGAAGGAGAGAACCGCTGGTCAGAAGGTAAAACCAGGTCGCTGTCCAGAAATCAGAGAAGTCCAGCGAGGGTGAAGCAAAGGAGTGGAATCCATGAGACAAAAGGTCAGAATCAGGAAATCAGGCATGGAAGGAACGCTTGAGATCGACTCATTGTGAGGCTTTTAATAATCTGGCAACCGTAAGTAGTTTGATGTCTGGTTAAATATGCAGGACAGCAGGTGATGAGCACTAATGAGACGTGGTGGAGCTGCACAGGTGGAAGAATGCGTGATAATGATGCACAGCTACATGTAAACAAATCAGTTACTTTACCAGAATCACGGTACTAACATTGTTACTATAACAACAAGCCTGATTGACAGGTGTCAACAATGTAGCTAAAAATAACCCAGACAAGCTTTTGGCTTATTGTTAATTAGAGGCGGCAGTTTCTATTATAAATGTTTACCATTTACCGTCAATAACATGTATTATCTATTTTTTTTTCAGTAGTTTCATTTCCAAAAGTTTGGAGAGTATTTTACCATCAAAACATTTCAAAGAAATCCCTCTTTGTTAGTTAAGACATTTGATATAAGTAAAAACCTATTAGACCTCTTAGGGAGATTCTATTTGGATTTTAAATGTCTGAGATTGTGAGTCTTTGACTTTCCTTTGAGGACAGCAGTCAGTTCTAGTCTCCTCCTAGTCTGTTTCTTTCTTCCTCCTGAAAAATAATGTTTTTTTTTTTAGTTATTGTAGTAACCAGATGTTGTCCATAATCCGTAACTAGAATAATCCAGCGTTCAGGAACATTTTAAATATCTTTCCCTTAAGGAGCATCACTGGCTGGTTTACTATTTTCACGGAGCATCTAAACATTATCTCTCCTTATTGATCTCAGTGGTTATTAATTAGTGGAATATTGGGTCTGTTAGCATCACTCTGTGAATGTAGCATGTAGCGGGGAAGGCTTTGGGCTACAGATTACAGATAACTACAGATTATTTACATTTAATCTCAGGTTTTTAACCACGCCAGAACTGGAAGCTTTGAAAAGTCTAACAACACATTTATTTTCTAATCATGACTTAAATATTAAATCATTACTATTTGTCTCCATTAATGCTACAAAAAATGTTGAGTTAAAACAACCAAGGATATAAAATGATACTTTCTGTCTTAAATAACCTGCTGCAGCCTTGTTTGCTCTTCTCTGGTGTTTCTGCTAATTTCACATATCCACTACAGCTGTTTATGGATTATTTATACTTTGGTTGTATTTTATTTTGTCTATTTTTTTTTAACTCTGTCACTTATTTTGTTACTTTTATATACATTTTAAGATCCACATTTGTGTGAAAACCTTTGCTGATATATTCCCACAATTTCCCCACAGTGGGACAATAATGGGATGTTCTATTCTATTCTATTCTATTCTATTCTATTCTATTCTATTCTATTCTATTCTATTCTATTCTATTCTAGTCTAAATAAAGGCTTAACATGGCGTTGACAGCTCCACAGCTACATCTAGTGGTGAGAACAAGAACAGTTACTATAATGTTAAAGCTGTTATTGTAATGAATGTGCAATAAACTATCTAACCAAAATATTCTTTTAAAAAGTGTAAAAATTTAATAATAATAATAATAATATTAATAATAATAATAATAATAATAATAATAATAATAATAATAATAATAATAATAATAATAAAGGCTGCTTAAGGTGGATAAATTAGATGTTTGTAGTTGAAGTGTCAATAGTCTCATTAATGTTGCAGCAAACGTCAGTGTTGCTGGTGTTGCAGTGTTGCTCTTAACTTATGATATGATTTAATTATTCATTTGATTTATTTTACTAGATAATTTGCATTTATTCATTAGTTTTTTCTCTTTTATTTTATTCACATTTTGTTTTTAAGGTTGTTGTTTCTAACTGTATTACAGCTTCCTATGGATGATATAAATACCAACACTATACTCTCAGATGTTATTCATTTTGCTTAATTTGTATTTTTTATAGTTTCATGTTTTAGTTTTAATTAACTTAATTAGCTAGAATATTCTGACTTAGCTTGCTTTTATATAATTTATGACTTTTAATATGTGTGATGCGTTCAAACAGATTACAGATTGAGTTTTTTTTATTTTATAGATTATTAAAGTGGATTATTTAACTGGATGTTTTAACTGGATTATTAAAATGGATGTTTTAACTGGATTATTAAACTGGATTATGTAACCTGGTTCTGAAAAGAGTTCGATGCAGAAAATCAACGACAAACACAAATAGAGCTGCAGGTTTTTTTCAGGATATGTTTTGCTTCGGTTCAGATCTTTAGACGGTGGAACAGGTTTAACCGTCTCCTGTCCAGAGTTTATTAATGACGTCTCTAAAATGTTCCCCTAAAGAAAACCTCTTCAGTTCAGTCAGGCTGAAAACACTACAGTTCTGGATGATATACATCTACACAGTGTAGAACTTCTGTATCACTGGATCTCAGCGCTGTAGATCAGGGGGTCCTGCCTAACTGAGGTGTTATAAAACAGGGATTGGCTTTATTGGCTCCAATAATCCAGACTTTAGCTTCGCCGCCTCCATCAGCAGCAGCTCAGTTTGCCTTTCAGGTCAGAGCCTGGATCACCCAGTCTTATTATTATCAAAGGAACATTAATCCACCTAAAAACCTTTTTTTTTTATTCTGCCACAGGAAAAATGTTGTTTATAACTTTAAAATGTGTTTCTTTGACTTTAGGTAGAATAGGCCATTTATCATTTAACAGGAATATCTCTCCAACTAAATCTATCATAATCAGGATATTTTCTGGCTTTCAATAAACTGTTAATGAATTTATTACATTTCTTATCAAGCAGATGTGAAATCAAAAAGTTGGTGGGTGGAATCTATTTACACAGATTGTTATGTCCTCTTAGAGAACAATGTACATCATATTAAAACAAAATATCGCTGTTATAATCCAAAAAATCTGTAACATAAATAATGTCTTTGTTGAAGATTTGTTGATTTACGATCAATTATTATTACTCCGCTCTTCTTTTCATCGGATCAGCAGGTTGGATTTTTAAAGTGCGCCACAACCAATTCACGCATGCGCACTGTGGGCTCCGGGGCTCAGAGTGACGCATGCGCACTGCGGGCTCCTGTACTGTAAGTGACGCATGCGCACTGCGGGCCCCTGTGCTGTAAGTGACGCATGCGCACTGTGGGCTCCGGGGCTCAGAGTGACGCATGCGCACTGTGGGCTCCGGGGCTCAGAGTGACGCATGCGCACTGTGGGCTCCGGGGCTGTAAGTGACGCATGCGCAGTAGCAGCGGCTGTGTGATAGTCCGTCAGCAGCAGCCAGCGGAGCGCAGCGGAGCTCAGCGTCCGTTTCCAGTTTTCTTAAATCAGACCCCTCCAGCCTCGACATACCGCCCCCAATTTCAGCCTCGGTACGGAGCCGCCAGGCCGGGACAGAGACGGAGAGAGAGGCCTCGGCCATGGAAGCTCTCGGACCAGGTAAGGCTGGGCCCACACCGCGGAGGAGCGGACGGTGGGCGGGAGGCGGCGCGCTTCACTGGGGGCCGAGGCTGAAGCGAGGCCTCCATGGATGCGTCCCTGGGGCCCGGAGCTTGGGGCCCCCGGCAGCGTTAGTGGAGGTGGAGGCTGTAGCTCCAGCTGTGGAGGCGCTCCGAGCGGAGCTGCTGGCTTTGTGTGTCGGAGGGGATTTAACTGCTGGGACCTCCTTCCTTCCTTCCTCCTTCCTCCTTCACGCCGTGTTTACTCCTCCGCTGCTCCTCCTCCGCTGCCTCCTTCCCTCTTTTCTTTACAAAAATATCGCCTGAAAATCTCTCAAATTTCCATTTCGCTAACGGGGACAGCCGACGTCTCAGCGACGGAGGAAAATCAAATCGAAACACGTCGCGTGTCTTGCGTGGGACCGAGCGGACGTGCGTGTTTTTGGCCTCGTTGTTTAGTGCGGGGCTGTCATCGGTTCACGCGCCTCGTTGAGCCGCAGCCACGCGCTCAGCAGCGGTGGACGAACTGCGCGCTGATCGCTGGGCTCCATCATCCGCGTCTCGACGAAAACAAAGACACGCAGCGGTGCGGTGCGGTGCGTGGAAAGGTCGGATCAGACCTAAAATCTGATGTTTTCATGGATGCCCCCCCCAGAATAATATCAGCTAATTAATGAATCCATAATAGTAATGAGCTGAGCTCCCTGATTGGCTGGAGGAACCATCAGTGATGATAATTAAGTTATTTACATTAATGCATTTTATTATTTAGAGCTATTTGAAAAAATAAAATAGTGAAAAATGTTTAAAACATCATTTGTAAATATTTCCATTTCTGTGCATTAATGCCTCTGAGCTGAACTATAGGATCATTTTCATTATTTGAGTTGAATCTTTTAGTTACATTAAATAGTTTAGAGGAAATATTATATGAAGATTTCAAAGGAAGATAAAAACTTTAGCAGTTTTATGTGTTTCTGCTGAAATGATCAACCTTTGATTAAACTCCCTGATCCAATAAATCTGATCAGTTTTGCAGATTAATCCTGAATCTGCTTCTGAAAACAGGAAGTTTGTTTTCTGAGTTAATCTTTGCAGAAATTAGTGAAAACAGCGTTTAGTGAAAATGACTCGCTTCACACTCAGAAAGATCAACAAGTGAAAAGAGGAAAATTGATGGAAGCGTGTGGAAAATCCAACCTGTGATGATCTGAACGGATTATTAATGGATTCAGATAAAAAGTCTCATTTAAGTCAGAATGAATGAGGTTGTTTAGAGCTTTCATCCCTGAGTCAACGATGCCATCGGTTACTGGAGTCATGGCCGCCGTCTGCGGATGAAATGCATTAACGACCATTAAAGGAAGAGGGTCTGGGTTATAGAACACTTTAAACTCCATCGTTACCCCAAAGTACGACACTATACACCTTTCTGGTAAAAAAACGCCACTAATTAAAGGCATAAAGTATTTTATCAACATTAGAGTGTGATTTCTCATCAGAATCACTGACGGTGTTCTGTCAGGTGAGCATACCCCGTCAGACCAGCATACCCCATCAGACCGGCATACCCCATCAGACCGGCATACCCCATCGGACCAGCATTCCCCGTCAGACCAGCATACGCACAGTCAATACCGTTTATACCTTTTAGTTTATCACACAAAATAACCTTTAAACTACCTGGACAGCCATGTATCCCTTTATTCATGTACAAAAAACCAATTGAATTACTTTGTGTTGTTTTCTGAGGCGTATGATGATCTGACCTTTTAAATGGTGTTTTTTCCCATGACTAAAGGGATTCACGCCGGTTTAGGTCGTTTAAAGTCTGTTTTTCATATAAACTAAAGGAATAAACGCAAAACTGACGTCTGGCGCATACGTATTGACTAGGGATGCACGGGTCTGATGGGGTATGCTGGTCTGA